TCGGAACTCTTTTTACAGCGAAAGCTTTGATTAGATCTAAACTCGTCATGCGCGGCGCCGTAGTTGTTGTTTGCCACCACTGCCGGTGTCCATAACCACATCGCACGAAATTAGAAAAAAAAATACCTAGTACCAATGACACAGTGGGGCTCGAACCCGGGTCCGCTGGGTGCCAGCCTAGTATTGTACCACTGAGCAACGCCTGTGCTTGGGACTTAATGGCAAACTTGCCTTAAGCAGGCTTGATGTCGGAAATGCAATCGCGTTAATACAACTTATAAAGCGTTTTAAAACAGCAAAAGAACAACCAGTCATCGCACGAGGCGAATAACGCAACGAGTGGGTTGTCCGATGCTCCAACCCATTATAAAAGCTTATTTTTGTTTATGGGTTAACTGTGGTGTATATCCACTTCAGGCATAATTCCTCATCGTCGTCAGCCATTGCATGAACAATTAGTACAAATTTCCTTGCAAGTGTTTAGCGGATACCATGCTTCTCAGAAGAATGACGAAATATATCTTATCGAATGACGGCCTACTACCCTACCCTACCCAAAAACTTGTATTATTAATGCCGCAGTGAGTATCAAGCAAGTGTGCTTGCAGCAGTTACCCAGTGAGAGTTTAAAAAAGGTTCTGAAAAGCCGCTCTTCTAGCTTTCGTTGTGACTGTGCTGAGCCTTCCGCGCTGGCCGAGCGTTATTATTTCTTTTTTTTTCTGACAACTATTTAAATGCATCATTTACCTCGCTTCGTCGTCACTGCTTGGCTGAAGAAGCCACACGGGTGAGACGAAAAACTGTGGCATAGAAAGAAAACACCGTGTTCTCAAAGAGCCCGTATACTGAAAAGGCGCGAAGCACTTACATTTCAATTCCATCCATGCTGCCTCACACCCATTTCAATTTATTCGTTTCGTTTCGGACAGGCTTTCTGACCGTTCCTTCACCTCTGCCCGAAAAATGGACGAAAACAGACATGTGACACTTTGGCTCACATGATATAGAACGTAACGGCATTCGTCACGACTCAAATGGGCTAATCGCGTGCAACTTGATGAAACGGCCTCCGTCCGAATTTGGAACGCGTACAAGATTGCACCGCAGCAAGTGTAATAACCTTGGACGCACAGGATGAAATATGATCAATCTTTGGCGTTATTCCTGTGTGCAAGTGCCAACTACTGTGTAATGTTAGCAGACTATAAAGAGTAGCACCGGCACGTGGTGGTGCCCCATGGCAAGAAGTGCAACTAATTCGAACACCGTTCTTGATTTACGTGACCTATTGGCCAATAGCATGCCTCTGCTGTCCAACTTTGAACAGCAAGCACCAGTATCTCCGAAGAGATTACGCACAGGCCTCTGTAATAAAAAAAAAAGGGATCTCGAGAAAAAAGTGTAACTTCGTGTTCTGCTTCTAAGCTCTCCTTACCACCCACAACTGCAAGATTTGGCTCAGCTGTTCACAGCAGCGTTTGCCATCTACATGATGAGTTTTCTCACCGAGCTAGAGTAATGATTCATAACCACTTTAATAGTGTGTTGCTGCAGTCCCGTATACTAATCCATTACCAGAAGAATGCACATGTAATTATCCATCCTTATACCAGTGGCACGGCCACTGCATGAAAGAGCGCACGGGTACGCGTTGCCGCGTGCTCCGAAATTGCCGTGACAGGTCTAGTTCCTGAGCCACCGCTGCAGTGTCACCGGGGAGGGGGGGGGGGGGGGGCAGTTTTCGCGAGCGCCCACGAAATCGCATGCGCAGTGCGCTTGCGGTAGTTACAATTGAGCATGTGCATCTGTGTGTGACCTGCCAAATCTTTTAATATTCGTCTAGCGTGCACCCACCAGGTAATTACCGATCTTGGTTTTATATAGCTGCAGTCTTTGCAAATTTTCGGTATTGTCTTGCCCAAGATGCATGGAGCCTTGCACACCGACCAGGTTTCGCAGAAGTAAGAATTCTGAGCTCATTTTACTCAGATCCTACAAGATCACAACTAACTGATTTGGAAGAGCTACACCTGTCCTAATGCATCAAAATTCATTATAGTAAATGTGAGTATGTTGCTTCAGAAAACCTAGCTTCAGATTTAATCATTTCATTTAGAATAAGCAACCTCAGCAATTGCAATTGCCACCGTTCATTTCACACAAAATAAGATAGACCTTTTACTTCCTCCAAACACGTCTATAGTATTCATATAATACAGTATCAGATGCTACAACCACGAAATATACTTAGCCTGTGTCCGATCTCATAACAGTGGACTTGAGCCTCTGAAATTTCAGTGACTGTGACTTCAGTGCTGGCAATTGAGCGAGCAGTTATGAACAATATGAATACTGTGAGATGAAATGAGCGATGAAAGGCTGAAAAATGCGAACACAACTGTTTGCGTTCCTGTGCTTTTGAATGTTTTTGTCTGTTTCCGTCACGACGTTCTGAATGATAATGCAATTTATTCAACTTTACATTCAACAGTGAACACATAATCGGATTAAATTGCATGAAAATATATTATTCTCAATTTAGGGCTGATCCTGGCATTTTTTAAATTTTTAACTTCTTTAACCTTTGCATAATAAACCAGTTGAAAATTGCTTCACAGATAGGTAGGCGATATTTTTCAGGGAGAATATCTGAGTGAGTGCATATTAGTTGGTGACACTCACTCACACACACAAAAGGTGCCCCGTTCCGCGGCCGACAAGCATATGTTTACGTTCACGCCTACACAACCGCTGGCTCCAAAGTTGTTGCATCCAGGAGTTTTGACACCACCTTCCCGTTTTCTCTTATCTCTAGTTCTTTTTTTTTTTCTAATTCCCAGCTTATCTCTAATTTTCTTCTAATGCCTGCCTTTAAGCCCTTGGCACCTTCGTCATTAGTTCCTGTTATTTCCAAACACTGTCGCGCTGTGGTGTCGTGCATTTCACGCAAGGCCATGTGAAACCGATGTTCGTTTTCGTAAAACAGTTTGAGCACCCCTTCCAGTGAAGAGGTTCGGCTGTCTGTGGCAATTTGCGGAATGGCACACAGACTCAAACTTACATCTGCAAAACATGCGAAGGCACAAAGGTGCCAAAAAGCAGCTGGTGGGTGACAAGATTTTATATTTGAAAAAAATATATACTGGCAGCCGACACACACGTTGAGAGCCTCTAGTCGGGAGATTGTGAGGAGGGTCGTTTCGGAAAGAGCTGCGGTAGGGAAAAAAAAGATGGCGTAAATGATCTGCTATAATTGTCTCTGTTTACTTTTCACGTTAGTTGTTATTATTGTTTTGTTCTGCCTCCATCTTGTGCACCCAACTTTTGGCTTATGTGTCTATTGACAATAAAACCACCCGTTCGGTCTTTTGACGTAAGCCTCTCCACGGGCACTGGCGAATCCCGATAGCACTTCAACGTGCTTGTCTTCTGGCAGTCTCCGTCATGCAGTTCTGTCATTCATTACGGCTTATTTGTACTACTACCTGTGCTCGCTGAAAAAAGGCACGTGTACTTGACTGCCCTACAGCAGCCATGGTTTTGCGATGTGTAAACATTAAAATCACGGTTGTCACTTGACCCGGCCGTGTGTGTATGTATGTATGCATGTATGTATGTATGTATGTATATATATATATATATATATATATATATATATATATATATATATATATATATATATATATATATATATATATATATATTTGTGTATGTGTTTGTGCCACGCTGCTGTTTGTTGGCACACTAGCACGCACGATAATCGATTCCGTCGGCCGCAATCATTCGTCGGCAAAAATTGTGGAAGCTCATTCATACTCCCTGAAACTTTCCTGAGCCGGACCCACTCGGACTTAAACGCCAAAATATTACTGGATGTGAGTCTGAGCGAGTCCGAGTGAGTCAACTCACGAGTCTGTTAGGCTTAGACTTTGAAACATTAAAGCTTTATTTATTTAAACATTCGGGATGCTGAGTTTTTCTGCCTAATATAAACTATCAAGAAATTTGAATGCCACTTCTAATGATGTATACTTTCACAGCCTCTTCAATAAAGTCATGAGGAGAGCATCATCATGTTTGTAGAAACCACGTTTATCCAACGTTTAAAGCTGAATTACTTTTTATGAATAACATGGAAAATATTCAAATCATGTTTCTTTCATACGTTGTCAGCTTATAAAAACTATGAACGTATAATGCCAAGTGTCCTGAAAATTTGTCAAGCATTCTGGCAGAAAAAATGCGAAGGTGCTGAATAAACATCACAAAAATCGAAATACTTTAGTTTAACACATCTTCGTAACTATAACAACGACTTTGTCACACATTTAGTGCCATATATTTCAGCTACATACACCGTAGATTTTTCTTTCAGTCTCAAAGCAAGCAGCTGGTTCTGGAAAAAAAAACATCAGGTGCTATGCACACACACAAAAATTCAATTCAAGATAGCGCCTATGTACTCTACTAAATACGCTATATGTCATCACTGCGATGAGATTCAAAATACACTGATTAGAACAACTGAGTGGGTCACTCTTGTGACAACGACCAGCTAATTTGCTGCGGCTGCTGCCCCGAGGGAGCCGCCACCACTCGTTTTTCGGTCCTTCCTGTCCCCGCCCCGTCGCACTGCAGCGGCCGCAACTGCAACTACAGCTGACACGCGCTCTCCTATTGAAAGCCGCTCGACGCGGCGGGACGCACCGTGCTCTTTTTCATCCAGCGGCCGTGCGAGTGGGCTTGGACTTGGAGCAGTGCTATTGCAAAGTGACCTTGATGGTCGCAAGCCGCCCGTTGCATTTGCTAGTCATGAAGTTTTGTGAACTTTTAAACTTCGCAGGGTGTAGCTGTAGGAAGTAAAAATAATGACCCTGCAGCCTTACTACCCCAAAACAACAGACAGTGATGCAAGCCATACGTGCAAGTGCGAAGCAGCAAGAAATCAGGACAACTTCACACTACCACCACGTAAAGTGAGATGAAAAGTGGAAACATACCTGTGTCATTAGACACTTTCTTTTTGCTGTCAGATGGCCCACCATTAGTTCTGTCTAGCTGCTCCACCTGGCGAAGCTCACCAGTGATTGAGCCTGTAGATGCACCACTTTCTTTGCCCAAGTCACCTTTAGGATTGCTTGTACTTTCATGCTCATTGGGAGCAATGCTCTGGACCACAACAGGAACCTTATTTTGGTCAACTTTACTTCCTGTCTTGTCAGTAGTGATACCATATGGTGTACTCTTTCCATCATCGGTTTCCACATGTTGAATTCCCTTAGTGCTGATGCTCTGAGAAGTAACTACGGCTGGTAAAGTTGTGATTCCTTGTTCTTCAAGTTTTTTGGCCTCCTCATTTCGCTGAGTAGAAGCTGCCAGAACGCAAACTGCAAGAAGAGATACAAGCATAAAAGAAAAGTTGCATAAGTTGTTTGCATGTTTACACTTCTGATATTTCATTTTAGCAAAAAAGAAAATGTGCAGCTATATACCACAAAAAATAAGAGAGATCACTTTAAGGCAAGCAATTTCTGCAAAAACTGTGCATCAAATAAAGAGTGTAAGGAGAGTAAGGAATGTGTGGCTGATGTGATTAGGACTGCCAGACTTGTCATTAGCGTCATTAGTGACCGGCAACATCAGTTCAACAGCGATGTAGCGGATGCTCATCTTCCAGAAATTGTTGAATGCGATTACTCATTCATGTCACCTATAGATATCACAATTGAAGGCATAGTTAAAAAAAAATTATTGAAAATCTGAAGATGTCATCATCTTCTGGTATTGACGATATCAATTCAAAAATATTAAAGAACACTGTTTATGTGTCTGGCAATATCCTGTTTCACATTTTTCGGCAGTCGTTCGCTACAGGAATGTTGCCTTTTGACTAGAAGATAGCGAAGGTAGCGCCAGTTCATAAAAGTGGTAGTAAAAGTTCACCTGGAAATTATTGCCCCATTTCCTTGACGTGCATATGTTGCAAGATGCTTGAGCATATCATAGCTTCTAACATTTATGCGCATCTAGAATCTCACAATTTCTTTTTCTCAAACCAGCACGGGTTCCGAAAGAGTCGTTCTTGCGAGACTCAACTCTTTGAGTTCACCACCGACCTACATTCTAACATGAACAGTAATCTACAGACAGATTGGTTATTTCTTGATTTTGCAAAGGCATTCGATCATGTTGCTCATTGTCGCTTGATATTAAAACTGTCATCACTAAAACTTGATTCACTCACGCTAACATGGCTCAGAAACTTCCTAACTAACCGCCAACAATTCACTATCGCCAACAATCACTCTTCATCACTCTGTTACGTTTCCTCTAGTGTACCACAAGGCAGTGTTCTTGGTCCCCTTACTTTTCTTCATCTACATTAACGACCTGCCTGACAACTTATCCTCATGTATGCGTATATTTGCCAATGACAGCATTATCTATCGTCCCATTCGCAACAATAGCGATCATCTAACTCTTCAAAAAGACCTCGAGCATATAATTGAGTGGTGCAAAACATGGCAGATGACACTTAATGTTTCCAAATGCAAACTAATCGCCTTTAACCACAAACGTGATAACTTTAATAGCCAATACATAATTGATAATAGCATTGTAGAACCGCTCCGCCGCGGTGGTCTAGTGGCTAAGGTACTCTGCTGCTGACCCGCAGGGCGCGGGTTCGAATCCCGGCTGCGGCAGCTGCATTTCCGATGGAGGCGGAAATGTTGTAGGCCCGTGTGCTCAGATTTGGGTGCACGTTAAAGAACCCCAGGTGGTCTAAATTTCCGGAGCCCTCCACTACGGCGTCTCTCATAATCATATAGTGGTTTTGGGACGTTAAACCCCACATATCAATTAAATCAATTAATCATTGTAGAACGCACTGATCATTACAAATACGTAGGCATAAACTTAACTTCTACACTTTCGTGGTCCACACATCACTTCTATCTGTGCCAACACATCAAGATCATTAGGTTTTCTGTGCCGAAATCAATACAGTGCTCCCTCCGATGTGCGCAAACTGGCTTATCTTTGCTCTAATCCGTCCTCAACTGGAGTTTGCATCTTCCATTTGGTCACCATATCAACAATACCTCATAGATAAGTTAGAATGTACACAGAACAGAGCTAGTCGATTCATAGCGCGTAATCACAGCTACCCGTCCAGCGTAACACAGATTAAACATAGCCTTGCACTCGAGCCACTGAAAATTCGCCGCGACATCTCACTTTTATCACTATTTCACCAACTCATCCACACCAGCATGATGCCATCTGTTCACATTAATCTAGCACATCGAACTTCGAGCAGACTACATAACACCTTTAGCTTATCACGCATGTACGGGAATACTAACGCTTTCAACCAGTCGGCTCTTCCACGAGCTATTCGTTTGTGAAATGATTTGCCAGATGATCTTGCGTCAGAACAAGACCACACAAAGTTCTATCATACTCTTAAAAAATACTTATGCACCAAAAACTGCTCTATCGCATCTTCATAATGATCAGTGTTTATAGGACTGTTGCCGATGTTTTTGCACTATTGCTAGGTTGTAGTTACTGTCATAGTAGTTTTTTCTGTATTTCACCTTCACATACTGTAACTCACTTTTTTAGTATGTATTTTGCTTACATGTTCATAAGTTGAACTGCATTTTCTATTAGATTCATTATTTGCCAATGTATGTGTAGATATTATGTATATATATTTTTTTCTAACATATTATCTGTACCGCCCCCCTTACACAATGCCCCTCGAGGGCTCTGTAAGGTACTGTAAATAAAATAAAAATAAAAGATCCCGTGTTTGTCTGTTGGCCAGTTTGACCAAGGGTGCCTCGATGCGCACGCCCCCATTCAGGGTGCTACCATCTTTTGTGCTTTTTTTTCTCCGCCATTGTAGTGCCTACAGCGTCTTCACCCAGCTGTAAGGCTCACGTACCACTTTGCTCGGCCAGGTATGCCTGGAAGGGGGGGGGGGGGAGTGATTGAGAACTTCATTTTGGTCCAAAGGCGGTAGAGACTGGACGGGACCAAAGGCCCCGCTAGCTCAGCCAGGTGGCTTCGCCCATGATTGATTTGTGGAGTTTAACTTCCCAAAACCACCATTTGATTATGAGAGACGCCGTAGTGGAGGGCTCCGGAAATTTTGACCACCTGGGGTTCTTTAACATGCACCCAAATCTGAGCACACGGGCCTACAACATTTCAGCCTCCATCGGAAATGCAGCCGCCGCAGCCGGGAATCGAACCCGCGACCTGCGGGTCAGCAGCCAAGTCAGGTGGCTTCGCCCAGGATGGTACCGGGAGGTGGAGTATCTTGGCGATTTCCCAGGCCCTCTGGACGGCCAGGAGTTGGTTGTCGAGCTCCGTGTTGCGCGTGGCAGCTTCCCAGGAGGTTTGGTCGGGTAGTTCTGACCCCGAGTTAAAGGGGCACAACCGAAGCATGTGTTCGAAATTACAGTACTCGTGATGACAGTGCGGGCAGTGGGGTGAGAAATCCGGGTCGAGTCTGTGCAGTATGGTTGGTGTGATGTACATTTGCATCTGTGTTGCCGAAACGTAACTGCTTGTCCTTTATTCAATTTAGGGTGCGGAAGAGGAAAAACTGTGCGCCCTAGTTTATGAACTATGGTGATCTCATGAAATGTAATCAATGGATCTTTGAAGTTCATACATCCCCGCTCGCTACCCCTCTGAGGGGGCCGCTCACCGCCGCGAATAGCTAGTTTGCACGCTAGCTGGTGAGCACTCTCGTTTGGATTGCAGGTCGGGCAAGACGAGAGATTAGCCATATGGGCCGGGAACCATGCAAAATGTGTCAGGGGAACATCCACTTCATTTTCCTGGGTAGGTACCTTATTCGTGATTTGAGCAGCCGTAGCAGAGACGAGGCCGGATGAGAATGACCGGATAGCTGTTCTTGAGTCCGAAAAGATGGTGACATCCCTTCTTCGTTTGTGAAGAGCGACCGCGATTGCGAGTACCTCGGCTTCGTGAGTGAATCTGGTCATCACCGTGGCAGAATTTACTAGGCATTCTTTCTCATTAACAAGAGTCACGACATATGCATACTTCTTCCAGAATTGGGCTGCATCGACAAAGAGGGCAGCAGAGCTTGAGCGCCCGATTTTCCTCATGATGGCCTCGGCTCTTGCTTATCGGCGCCCTTTGTTGTGCACCGGATGGACGTTCCTGAGAACCGGGTCGACACATATGGCCCCTCTTATCTCACCAGATATACTCCGTTTTTCTGGTGGCATAAAGAGGGGTTGTAGCCCAGCTTCTGGGAGGATCCTGGTGCCCACTTTGGTAAGTGACAATCGGCATAGCTGCGCTGTTCGTTGAGCTTCAAAGAGCTCCGTTGCTGTGTTATGCAGTCCGAGCTGTAGAGCCGCTCCCTGTTTGTGCTTTTCGGCAGATTTAGGACCTGCTTTAGCGCCGTCCTGATAAGGGTGTCAATCTTATTAAGTTCCTTCTTTGTCAGTTTTAGGAAAGATGCGGGGTAAATAATGTGGCTGAGGAGGAACGCATGGAAAGCTTTCATGAAATTATCTTTCTCCAGCCCCTCTCTCTTGTTGGCAACTCTGATGATGACCCTACTGAAGCTGCGAGTGCTCTTCTCGGGACGTCTGAGTGCCTCAGTGTTGTTGTTGCTGTACTTTCCAATTGTCATGCCTAGAACCTTAACTGATTCACAGATGCGAATTGGTTTTCCACTACTCGATCACAGACTAATAGGCTGCCCATAAACCTCCAAACCCCGCGTTGGAAAACACTTGTGGAGGAGGAGTTCTGACTTATCAAGAGATAGCTCCATCCCCGTGCTTGTCCGAAAATCCTCCGTGACATCGAGTACTCATTGTAGATTGCACTCCAGCTTTCAAAAGGGCCCTTCGCGGATCATATGGTGATGTCGTCCGCGTATATTGCATGGCCAATGTCCGGAACGTCAGCGAGCTGCTGAGACAGGTTGTGCATTGCAATGTTGAATAAAAGTGGGGACAACACTGATCCTTGCGGTGTACCAACGTTACCCAGTGTGTACTCTTTGCTCTTGATTGGACAGATGGCTGGTTGTCACGTTCCTCAGTGCAACAACCGTTCGCGTTAAGCTAATAAGCCACTTCCTGCCACAGCAAAATCAGTATACAGCGGGAGCGATAATGGCGGCTGCCATAGCAGACAACGCAGATGTCTTCACTCTGAGCGGAGAAGTGAGCATCAAGGCGACAATGTGTCCCCACCCCCCTTATCACCCCGAGACCAATGGCCTCGTGAAACTTATCAACAGAGCAATAACGAACATGCTATCCATTTATGTTGATTTCAAGCACCAAAACTGGGACAAAGTGATTCCCCACATCACAAACGC